TGAACCCAGGAGGCAGAGGTTGCAGTGAGCAGAGATCACGCCACTGCATTCCAGCCTGGGTGACAGAGCGAGATTCTGCCTCAAAAACAAACAAACAAGCAATATATATATATATATATTTGAATCTCTAAACAATTGTTTTTTTCTTCAAAATCAATATGGCTGGTTTAGCTTCTCATTTCATGCTATTCAAGATTCTTCACTTTCTCATGAAAGAAACATTACCTGTTTGATAATAGCAGTCTGTGGTCTTTTCTATTTATTAAGCAAAAACTGTGTCCTATTCTAGTGAATGCAGCTGAATCTATTAATAGCTTTAAGTTTTATTTCTCCCAGGTTGCAGTTATTATCCCATAAACTGAAAGCAGCCTTAAGTTATCATCAACATAAACCCATCCATTAAAAATGTCAATTAAAATAGCACAGTACAAAATTATTGTAGATGTTATAAAAGACTCCATTGATTTTATTTTTGGATAATATTTGGATTTTGATATAGATATGTCATATTATAACCAAAGAAAAAGGTAAAAGTTGGATCTCTTCATGAAACAATTAAAAACAACTGTTTTAATGGATAAAATTTAATGGCACCTTTTTGTTCATGCTGTTTTCCTAGTTCCCCTGAGTGAGAAAATCAGGCAACTTGGATTTTAGCATTGATGAGATGAACTCTAGGGTGAAAATGCCATAACTGTATAAAATATTATGCAATCTTGCTTCAAAAATGAAAGCTTAAATTTAAGATTAATAGAAATGCAATTGAACCTTCCTAATTCAGATTGCCTTTGTGACTTGCATATGTTTTGATTATATCAAAACTACTGACTCCTGTTTCCTTGAGAAGTATTATGATTTCTGTCCTGATATTTAGTGAGGAAAAGGAGAAAATTTGTTTAAGGGAGAAGGAAGATTATTAGGCTGTCCTGTGTATTAAAGCAACGATACTTTTAGAAGATGTCTTGGGGGTCCTTTCTGTATTTAAATAATATGTATGTCAATTATTACAGTATCACTTTTGATATGGTATTTAGTAGGAACATAAAGAAGATACAAGTAGACAGAAAATCTTAGCTGTTATGTTTAAATTCAGTTGAAATCCTAATTTTTCTTATAATTTTATCTTAAGCTTCCTGTTATTTTGTGTTATGTGGGAATGAGTATTCTAATTTATTATTAATTTAGGGTAATTGAAATAACTTACATTCAATATTGATGAAAATTACTCATATGTAGGATATGTATAAACATTTTAAAACAGAACAGAGAATATAAATATGTTAAAACTCTGCTGCACATTTTATCTTTTTGTATAATCAGTGTCACTTTAGTTAATCATAACAAAGACCATTATGATAAACATTAAAGTGAATGTATGATATGCCTAATTAACAGAAAACGTTACATATACTCATTCATTTATTCAACTCGTATTTCCTGAACATTTAGTATATGTCTGACACTGTTGGTAGGAGTGAGAATAAAAATAAAAGGCACGGTCCCTTGTCTTCAAGTATGTTACAGTCTAAAATAAAAGGCATGGTCCCCCGTCTTCAAGTATGTTTCAGTCTAGTATGTAGGTAGGTGCTTAAATAATCACAATACCATACAATAACTTTTAAGGTAGAGAAAATGGGAAGTGTTTCTATCTCAACGGGGTTCAGAGACAGCTTCCTGAACTAGAATGGTAGAGTAAGAACTAGCTGAGTGATGTGGTGCTCTACAGGGCAAGAGATACTGTTGGCAAAAAGAACAGTCTCTCTGGGAAAAAACAGACACACAGAAGAGCATGGTACATCCAACAAATTCCAAGGAACTTACACAGTTGGAGCAAATTAAACATATGTAATTATGGAACCAGTTCACTTTACAGAG